CAGTGCTCCAGGTGGGGTCTCACCAGGGCAGAGTAGAGGGGGAGGAGAACCTGCCTCGCCCTGCTGGCCACACTCCTCTTGATGCACCCCAGGGTGCCATTGGCCTTCTTGGCTACCAGGGCACACTCCTGGCTCATGGTCAGCTTGTCATCCACCAGGACTCCCAGGTCCCTCTCAGCAGAGCTGCTCTCCAGCATGTCAGCCCCCAGACTGTACTGGTGCATGAGGTTCAACCTCCCAGGGGCAGCACCTGAAACTTGCCCCCAGACTGTACTGGTGCATGGGGTTCAACCTCCCAGGGGCAGCACCCGAAACTTGCCTGTGTTGACTTTATTCCCTGGGACTGTGCTACAGAGCTGCGTGAATCCCAGCTCCATCCCTGTGCCGTGGGCTGCTCCTCTGGCTCCTGGCCAGGTGGTCCCACAGCTCTCACCATGCTGGAAGAGCTTGTCCGTGCAACAGGAGATGCGTTTGTACAGCAGGACAGCTCTGCCAGACAGACACAGCCAGGTATTTCCTTCAGACCCCAAGAAATGAAGCAACCGCTCTCAGCACTGGTTCCTGTAGCCACGCTCAGCTCACCTGCCCTCCTGAGCAAAAATTAAGACGTACCTTGGTGTTGTAATGACAACCTTGCAAACCCCTCGAAGCCTGGCCAGATACCTACAGGCTGCTTCCCTGAATTCAGAGAAAACTAATTAGGCTTGGCTGAGTCCACATTCCCTGGCTGGGAATAGATGTGACTCCAGGTTAATAATGTATAGCTACAAGGTTAATAATGTACATGTGCAAGGAGGAGAGCTGTCCTGGAAGCACCATGGCTATGTCTCATCCCTGTGTGCCGCAGCACTGATTCTTCAAGGCCCCACGCCTGCTCGGCTGTGCTTGTTTCCAAGGCAATTGGAGAGTTGTTTAAAGACTAACTTAGTGCCAGAGAAAGAAGCAAAATATGTTTAAGCTAATTCATCTAAGCAAGTCTTGCGGTGCTTTCTCCCGTCCTCCTCCTTCGGGCTGGGGAGACGTCCTGAGCTGAGCCACCACAGCTGCTGGGTGCAGGAATCCAGCACAAACCTGCACTATTTTAGATGCCACCAGGAGAGTCCCAGCCTTTCCCGCACCCTTGTCCCCCGCAGGAGCTCTGGGTCTGGTGTAGCCCTAGGAAATATCAAGTCCCGGCTCGCTAAAAGGAGAGCACAGCGTCGGAGGAGGTCATTCCAAGAACTGAAGCCAGGATGTTCCTAATTCCTGCGGGGGCATGGCATGGCCCTGTAGATCGGGTGACACCGGGCCGCTCGCCGCTCTCCCCTTACACCCCTGCAGCCCTGCCTGCTGCGGGCTGTGCCCGGGGACCGGGGGGCTGTCCCAGCACGTCCCTTCCCAGTGGCACTAACCGCCCCGTCCCTCCCCAGGCTGCCGCACCGAGTGGGATGGAGTGAGCTGCTGGTCAGCCGTGCCTGTCGGCCAGTCCCGAGCCGTCGCCTGCCCCGACATCCTCCACGTCTTCAAGAAGTCCAAAGGTACGGTGCTCTGAATCCAGCCCAGACCACTCATTCCCTGGGACCGAGGGCTGAGCTGCACCCACCCCTGCCTGCCTGGGATCCTTGTGCCACCCCCAGCCCTTCCCCTCCGGTCCCACAGCTCCTGCCCCATCTGAAAGCTTGGCATGTATTGCAATCCAAGCAGGAGACGGGCAGAAGCAGAGATGCAGGGTGCTGCCACGCCAGGGAAGTCCCCAAACCCTTTCATCACCCAGTACCAAGCATCCCCTTGTGGGTAGAGCACTTGGGGACCTCATCACCCACATGGGTGACACCAGGACAGTCCCCCAGCTGCTCGGTGCCCTCCTTCCCCCATCCACACACCAGGCTCATGCTCCCGACCTGCTCGGTACCGCTCTGAGCCACACGGATGGAAAACGCAGCGTAAGATCATGATTATTTCAAGACCAGGCACTCCCCCAGGGCGGGTGCTGCTGCCAGGAAGCTGCTGCCTCCATCCATCTTGGAGGCAGCAGAGTGTGAAGGAGAGCATCCAACCGGCCCCCACAGCATCCAAGCGCTTCCTCAGCTGGGCGTGATTGAAAAGGCGATGGAGGGGTTGGTAAATGCTTGCTTTAGGGCAGAAAAAGCTCAGGAGAGGCTTGAAGAAGTCCTCACAGGATGAAAAAGTCCCTTTTCAGCCATAATTCCCTCCCACCAAGAGGATTCATACTGGCTTCCACATCCTGCCCTAAGATGTCCCGGCACCTCCAGGCACAGTGCCAGAAGGCAGATACATGATCTGGATGGGAGGGCTGGGGCAGCCAGGCCATTCAGGTACCAGGCTGCTGTCACGGCTGGGATGCTGGTGCTGGGATTTAGGCTCCATCCCGGAGAGCGAGGTGCCATCCCCAGGCTGGACATTTTGGGGGTGCTGATGCAGAGGCGATGGCCATGACTTTCATGAGATCCCTTCTTGTTGCTGCAGCGCTGATCCGGAGGAACTGCACCGAGTCGGGATGGAGCTTCCCCAGCCCTCCCTACTACAATGCCTGCGAGCTGGAGGCCATTGGCAGCAATAACGACACCGAGGCCAAGGCAAGTGGGTGTCCTGGGGGCTGGGGGGCTCCCTCCCTGGCATCACCCTACCCCACATTGACCCATGCCGTTGGGCAATGAAACATGAAGATGCTCTCGTTGGCCTCGTCCTTGTTGCTGGGCTGCCTGGAGGGATCTGAGCTTGGCTGGGCCAAGCCTGGGCAAGGGCTGGAGCATCACCCTGCCCCATCGCAGACCAGCACCTCCCAGCCCGTGCTGCCTCACTCCGCTGGTGCTTTCCCTTCCAGAAAGGCTATTTTGTCACCATGAAGGTGCTTTACACCTGCGGCTACTCCACGTCCCTGGCAGCCCTGTTCTTGGCCATCGGCATCTTCTCCTGCTTCAGGTAGGGCTCGGCGCTGGCTGCTCCATGGGCTGCAGCTGGAGGAAAGCCGGGTGAATCAGCAGCAGGGGATGGATGCCCTTTTTTTCTTTCGAGCTTTGTTTTTGCAGACCTCGCTGTGCTGCAGAATTACTCTCTCCAGAGGTGGCTGGAGGCTGCTCCCCAGCAGACCCTGTCCCCAGGCAGCAGCCTCGAGCTCTGCAAAACCCTGTCCTTTGTGATATCAGAGCAGGAAAACCTTCTCCAGGGCTTTGTGCTTGACCACTGCCAGCACATGGTCCCCTGGGCGGGGATCCAGTCAGGGAAGTGGCTCCTGAAGGAGAAGCTTCTCTGTCCATCCAATCTCTCTGCTACTCCCTGGGCACAGGACATCTCTTCCTCCCGTAGGAAGCTGCATTGCACGAGGAACTCTATCCACATCCATTTCTTCACCTCCTTCATACTGCGTGGGGCTGCTGTGTTCATCAAGGACGCTGTCCTCTTCTCGGACGAGTCCATTGATCACTGCACGATGTCAACGGTAAGACACCGAGTCCCAACCCAGGCATGGTGTGGGAGAGGGCACCATGAGCTGATCTGGAGAGGTCTAGGTGGATTGGCAGTGGATTTAGCATTGCAAAGAGGAGAGAGAGAGATATGCTGTGAACCTGGGGAAGAAAGGCTGGCTTGGGTGGGCTTCAGGAGGTTCACGACAGCATCTCTGCATGGCCCCTGTCTGCAGAGAACGTGCTCTGCCCTCAAAGCTCTCCCTGGTCTGAGTCAGGGCCTCGTAGCGGGGCTGAAGCTCTGCACAACCCCAACAGCACCATGTACGTGCAAACAGACCTTGCACTGCTGGATGCAGGGATTTGGGGTTGTCACTAGAAACAGAAACCCCTGCGTGCAGCCATGGTACAACACTGTGGACACCACAGACACAGGTTTCTAAAGGTCCTACAATAACAGCTTGTGGTCATCTGCCCATGTTGTGCAGGCAGAGCAGAAAATGCCACAGGTGACATGCAGGACTGGTGCAACATCCTTGGGGCTGCACTGAAAGGCCATCACAGGTCTCCTTGAGTGGATGGATGGAGAGGCTGGACCATCCCTTGTGCCCCCAGACTGGCCAAGCAGCACTCCTGAGCATTGCCCCTCCTCATCCTCTCAGGTGAACTGCAAAGCAGCCATCGCCTTCTTCCAGTACTCGGTCCTGGCCAACTTCTACTGGCTGCTGGTGGAGGGCATGTACCTGCAGACCCTGCTGCTGCTCACCTTCACCTCTGACAAGAGGTACATCTGGTGGTACATCCTCATTGGCTGGGGTGAGTGCGGGCCCTCCAGCACATCAACCCCTCTGGCAAGGTCCCATTGACACAGAGCGGGGGTAGGCACCGCTTTTGGGGATTGCCGTCTCTGAGACCCTACCTGGCCAGGGGTCCACAGGCACAATGGATGTTTCAGCACGTGCCCCCACCCCAGCAGCTTTCTGCATGGCCTGATGCTCAGTGGGGCATCCATCAGCTTCTGCCAGCCCCTGGAGCTGGTCAGGCAGCATGTCCTGATCCTTGCCCTCGTGGCATGCGGGCAAAACCACTCCAAGGGGAAAATGCTTGCTAACGCTGACCAAAGAGCGGTGGCAGCAGCATCTGGTGCCGACCCATCCTGATCGTGGTCAGAATGGGACGGACACAGGTCCTTCCTTCTTCCCACATCCATCTGGGGCTGGAAACACCTGTCCCAGGTGCCCAGGTTAGATGTAAGAGCACATGGGGGGCAGGAGGATGGGCAGGAGGTGCCACATCACCATCAGTGGGCACAATCTCCTTGTAAAACCTGGAGAAGGGGGAAAGTCTGTCACCTTCCTGCCACCTCCAGGGCCCCAGAGCTGACCTAGACACGCATTCTGGGGGACAAGAGATGGAGGGGGGAGGTACAGGGGCTCCCCAGAGACCTGGGGTGACTCCGCATCCCTGCCTGGGTCCTGTCCTTGCAGGCGTCCCCATGCTGACAGTCTGCATCTGGGTGGTCACCAGGCTGCATTACGACAACCACGGGTAAGAGCAGCCACCCCCCTTCCTTCTCCAGGCCAGCTTGGCCATGCGTCCCCCACGCAAACCATGGGGGACAAACCTCTTGCATGGGAGGCTCAGGAGGGGAGAAGTGGGACAGCACTTTATTTTAAAGCTATTTCTGTTTTGCTGGTGGGGCCCGTGCTCCAGCAGGGCCCCGTTGCAAGAGGAGCTGTGCAAATGGGGCAGGGTGCTGGGGAGGGGTGGCAGGGCGAGACCTGGGCCAAAAGGGTGCAAGGGGGTGGCAGAGCTGTTTCTCCTCTCCCATAGGTGCTGGGATGACTACACCAGTCTGTACTGGTGGGTGATCAAGGCTCCCATCCTCCTGGCCATATTTGTGAGTACGTCCCCTGAGCATCCTGGCCCCACAGCTGGGGGTCCCATACAGATGGGGTGACCCAACCAGGGGTCTGTGCAGAGCCTGAGACACGGTTCCCTGTGGCAGGTGAACTTCCTCATCTTCCTCAATGTCACCAGGATGTTAGCACAGAAGATCCGGTCCCCAGACATCAGCAAAAACTACAAGCAGCAGTACATGTAAGGGCTAGCTCGGGCAAGGGGGAGCTCCCCTCACCCTGATTTCTCAGGGGACCCAGGGCACTGGGGACCCTTCCCTGGTGGAGCCTCTATCCTTGGAGCCTCCAAGACCTGCCTTTCATGGAAAACCTGTTTGGGGTTAAGACCCAGCTCTTGGGAAGGCATTGTCACACAGAGCAGCAGGACCATTGCCTGCACCTGGGCCCCCACTCATGGCACCCCTCTCCACAGGAGGCTGACAAAGTCCACGCTGCTCCTCATCCCTCTCTTCGGGGTGCACTACGTGGTGTTCGCGCTCTTCCCTGAGCACATTGGTGTGGACGCCCGGCTGTACTTTGAGCTGGTCCTCGGCTCCTACCAGGTACAGACTGGGGGAGATGGGTAGGCAAAATCCCCACGTACCCACCCTGTCCCATCCCAAGGTCACACCAGGAGACCCCGGGATGTGCACTCTTTTGGGAGAGGATGATGTCCCAGACCCCCCCCAAACACCAGGGGCAAAGCACAAGGGTTGTGGTCTTGTGAATTTGCGCCAATCCCATACACCTACTGCCTGTGGGATAGGGTAGGAAGGGCGGGATGGTGCTACATGCAGGCAGCAGATAAACACAGCGGGGTCCAGCCCCTTGCCTCGGCGGGAATTTGCTCTTGCTGTCCTTTCCAGGGGTTCCTGGTGGCTCTGCTGTACTGCTTCCTGAACGGGGAGGTGAGTGTGTCCCCCAGCACCACCCCCCTGGGCGCCACAGCCACACACATGGGCATGCAGACACCCCCAAGGGTGCACCCCAACAAGCACTGCATGTACACAACCACATGTGTGTGCACACGTGGGCATGCAGACACCCCCAAGGGTACACCCCAATGAGCATGTGGGCATGCAGACACCCCCAAGGGTACACCCCAATGAGCACGTGGGCATGCAGACACCCCCAAGTGTGCACCCCAACAAGCACTGCATCCACAAAACCATGCACATGTGCACACGTGGGCATGCAGACAGGCATGGGGGTCCCCACCCTCTTGCACCCCAAATCCCTTGTCAAGCCCTGGGTGCAGCTCCTGCCCCTCCAGCGGGTGCTGGCGGGTGTCCCTGGGTGCCAACACTGGTCCGTGGTGTTGGTTCAGGTCCAGGCTGAGATCAAGAGGAACTGGGGGAAGTGGCAGTTGTCCATGGAGAGCAATGTCTTCAACCTGGTGACTCAAGACTTCACAGCATGACCAGGACAGCGTTCAGGGCGGAAAACCTCCTCAAGGATGGTGGTGGTGGTGCAGCCCCATGGCTACGGTCCCAGAAAGAGAATAAAAAGGATTTTGTAGGTTCTGGGTCTGACATCCTCGGGGGGCAGAGTGAATGGCTGTTGGGAAAGGCTTTGCCTGCTCCTGTGCTGGCGGCTCCTGTGGATCCCTGTGATGGTGTCTTGCCTGCCCAAAGCTCTCGTCACAGTTTGGTCGGTGGTTTAGGAAAAGGGAAGAGAGCTTCTCCACCTTTCCTGCCCCAGGACTGGGTAGGGAACACAAATATCATTTCACAAAGGACATTTGGCATTTTTTGCTTAGCACTGGAATGAAAACTGAAGCAGTCCCAATGCTGAAGGGATTTGCTGCTGGTTATTTTCCCTCCTTCCTTGGTTTACAGAATTGTTTCCCTTACGGGAAGATGCCCAAACGCAGCTCCCAGGAGCCATTCCAGGGGTGGGAGAAGCAAATACAGAGACAGATAAAAACCCACAGCTCTCTGTGCAAGACCCCCAGTGTTCTCATGACTCAGATCCTCCCCTGATTTCCAAAATGTTTCCCTTTCTCCCATGCCCATTGCTCCAGCTGCTCTCCATGCTGGGGAAGATGGTCCATCCCCCCTGCCATGCCAGCTCAGAGGGGTTCTGCGGCTCCCCCAGGAGCTTTGCACCAGAGGAAGAGGGTGGTTTGCAAGCAGCGGGGCTCACCCATCTTTACTGGGGACTCATTTGCCTGGGACTTGTGAGGGTTTTGCCAATAAAATCTTGTTCTGAAACCCCGCATTGCTTTCCAGAGGTTTGGGTTGCTCTACAAACCCAGATAACTTGGTACCAGGCTTGCTAGAGAGTGGAAATCCTGTCTGTAATGCCTGGGAATATTCCCTGGGGGAGAAATATCTGGTTTTTTCTCTGCCTGGTGAAGCAGCCAGGCTCTGGGCACGGCCACGGAGAGGAGGTGGGGGAGGAAAGCGAGGAAGAGCGCAAGGTGGGTGCATCTCAGGCTGTCCCAGTGGTGCTGGGGTGCCATGTCCCCTCCAGGCTGGAGCTGCCCCACCACGCCACAGCCTGGCCCCATGCACCCCCACCAGCATCCTTCACCCTTCCCTGGGCTGAGCTCCTGCCTTGGCAAACGCTGTCTCCAGGACCGAGAAAGGCCTTGAATGCCCTTCCTCCAAACCTCCTGGCCTCTCCTGGCTGCACCCTGCTCCTGAGACCCGAGCCACCCGATCTCAGCAGACCCTTTCATATGCATCCCGGACTGTAATTTCTCCACATAGCCACATGTCCTTCCTTAAATAAAATCCACTTGTTGGCCCCTTTCCAGGCTGCAGGATCTCCAGTGATCCCGCCTGGTCTCACGAAGAGGCACTGAGAGGGAGGCAGAGCCCCAGATTTGATTTGAGGTGAGATGGAGGATGTTCTGTTAAACAACCCCCTGGGCCAGCAATGTCCTGCGTCGCTGGCCAGGAAAGCAGCTGTCAAATAAATGCCTGCCCGCAGCCGCAACGAGACCATAGGTGAATAAGCATCCCTCTCCATCACTAGCGAGGAAGATGCTGTTTCAGCAGGGATGTGAGGCAGACTGGACCAGGGCTGGGGATGCTCGGTGGAAATGTCACAGTTGCCATAAAGCTTTGAAAAGCACTGGGTGTTGCGGGTAGTTTCAGCTGCAAATGGGGTTTTCTAGGTGCTAAACCTGCACCCCAAATGCCCCTCTGGGGTTTGCTGGCTGTCGGCCCTGTGGGCTCCCCAGTGCAGGGCAGAGCCTGCAAAGCCAGGAGCCCACCAGGGGTGCAGGAGGGCTGATGTGCCACCGCCGCGGGGACTTTGCATTGCTTTCAGTCTGCAGGAAAGGTTTTCAAAAGGGTTGGCTCTGTCTCTAGCACGGACCATGCCCTACTGCGACGTATTTGGGGTAGCTGAGCCCAAGCACATCAGGGCCAGGTCTCCCTGCCCCCCCATCTCCCCTCCAGCACGGCCCCGGGGTGCCACAGTAGCCTGGCATCCCCATCGCCCACCCTGCCCTGGGGGTCCCTTGTCCTACCCCCGGGCAGAGGGGGTCCTGGAGCCTGGGGGTGTTTTGCCTGGAGCCGGTGGGTGGCACTGCGGCCCCGCAACCGCCGCGGGCACTGACATCCGATCCGGGGGTGTCAGCCCTGGAGTGCACAGTGTCCCTGCCCAGACCACCCTGGACACAGGCTCAGCTGGTGTCGAGGGACCCTGGCACGTCCTGGGGGCTACCAGCTGCTGGTCCTGGGTGCCAGCACCCAATGACTCTGCCCAGGGCCCTGCGAGCACCCAGGGAGCAAGGTAAGGGGCCACACTGCTTCAGGGGAGCGGGCACCCAGCCCCACACGTGTCCCAAGGTTTCAGCAAGAGCTGGGTCCCCCCCAGGGTCCCCCTCGGCAGCGCTGGCCAGGTGAGGGTTAATGAGCGATGGGGATGGGAATAAGGCTCAGGGCTGGGAGAGCTGTGCCTTTGCTTGTTGCTTCCTTCCCTGCCTGCATCCCCTGCTCCTCCGGGGGCTTGGGTGCTAACGGTGTCCTCAATGCCAGTGCCCGCACCCGCACCTTCATCCCTGCTCCGGGATGCACCCGGCTCTGCTGCTTGGGGAATTCACCCTGCAGATGCCCCTTCCCCGTGCCCTGGCTCGCTGGCACCCTGCCCCGCGTGGGCAGCCTGCGCAGACCTCAGCACCACCCCACAGAGCCCCCAGGGGTGCATCCAGCCCCACAGCAGGGCGAGGGTCTGGATGCACCCAGCACTGGCAGCTTTGGGGGAAGGTACAAGCCAAGGCACCTCAAACACCCCAGGGTCTCACGGGATGTGCCAAGCATTGCCCTTATCCCACCCCACGGGCACGGTTTTTGCTCCCAAATTAGTGTTGTGAGTACCCCTGGGTACTCCAAGCTCCCATTCCGGTTGGGATTTAGCTGGTTTTGCTGGCAGAGCTGTGCCCTCCTGCCTGCCCAGTGCCCTGCTGGGCACCCTGGAGTGCCCCTGGCTTCCAGAAGGGCAGGAGCCACATCTCGAGGTTTCCATCCTCACGTGCCTTCACCCAAGGTTTGCTCTAGGCTGTATGCAAAGCAAAAAAAGACCGGTGCGGGTTGCACAGGCTTCCTGGGGGTGACAAGGATGGGTTTGGGGCAGCTGATGGGACCCGCCAAGCATTCCCTG